GTGTGGTCAGTGGGAACATCCCTGGGTTATGGTGCTAAACGTGCTCAGTTGCAGGAACTACAGACGTTTATGGACACAGCTGTAGTTACTCTGGGACACTCAGACTGTTATTTAGGATCAGCCACATCTGTTCCTGCATCCGCCTCTGTCAGTTCTCCCCAGGGCAGCTGTGGCTACATTGTTGCTCATCACTGTCAGTGTGTGAATGTGTGTGTGAATGGATGAATGATACACTGTAGTGTAAAGCGCTTTGGAGTCCTTACTCTGAGAGGCGCTATACAAATGCGGGTCATTTATCATTCATAAACTGGATAATGAACATGAGTATTTGATCCTCTAGTAGACTTGATGCTTCTATGTGTGTTGGTTCACCAACCATTGCAGAACAACTCATTTCTCAGACGTAGTTCTGTGTGTTTACTCTTGTTCTCAGATAAATGCAGATTTTAGAAGCATTCCCACCGTCCCCTGCTGTCCAGACTCCTGCAGCAGCCCGGTTCTTCAGAAGGTTTCAACAACGAGGAGGCCAGAAGAGAAGAAGCTCCAGAGCATCAAGGACATCCCGGCTCATGTGAGCCTAAACATTAGTTTAAATATTTAGATTTGATCTAAATGACTTGTTACATCAACGTTAAAACCTTGCCTTCCCACCCTGGACCAGAACAAGAGGATGCTGACTCAGACCTGAACGTGTTGTTGATGCGCCTCAGTGTGGAGCTCAACCAGGACTCAGGGTTGGTGGTGAATGTTAGAAAAGTTTCAGTAAACACTGTAAATAATGACATTTAGTTTGTAGGGGTGATATAACAAACATGATAGCCGTGTTTCCTCTGTAGAAGAGACACGACGGCTCGGTCCTCTCAGCTGTTGTCTCTCCACACAAACTCAGCCCTTGAAGGACTTTGCTCAGACGTCAGCGTATCACAACTGCTTCTGCAGAGTTACGTCACTGATCAGTACCAGAGGGCGTCCACAAACATTATTAACATTAAAAACTTTGTTCTGTAGAACTATGGTGTAATTTCACCGAGTCGGAGTACCGGGAGAGCCGCTGTTGGATGTGGCGTTCAATGACCAGAAGAAGAAAAGGAAAAGTGTGTAATGGATTAGAATTACACTTAAATAATTACCATAAGACATTAAAGATTCATATATGAATCCCATCTTATGGACACTGGGTTATTTAAATCAGAAGATTGGATCTTTTTATTACAGGGACTTTAAAATAACACTTTGCATGAACTGAGAGACAAGAGAAGAGAGAGAGACTTTCAAACGTTTAAGGAAATTTATTTACTAAATAATTTAAAACTATTTAACAAGACTAACTCTCTAATGATGAATGCTTTGCTGGAATGAAGTGTGAGGTGAATGGTGTGTGTGTGTGTGAACAATGTCAAGTTCAGAACCTCCGTGTCCGGAGAAGCGAGTCTGAGTGGGAGATGATGTTTTGCTCCTAACTGATCAAGTTTGAACCCGTGGTCATAAACATATGAGACGCCAGTTTGTCGCATCCACATACCCTCAGTGAGACCTCCACGGTGGATCCAGAATGCCCAGGTCCTCGGACCTTCCTTCCGGTACTGGAGCCGACGGTACAGCGTCACAGCACGACAAACCAGTCTTTGGATAGTCTCCAGGTAAAAAGCGACAGGTGTTTCACGGCGTCAAAAAGGGGACCCTCCTTGGGTCAGCGAGTTCAGCTTTTATTCTGAAGGAACCGTTGTTGATTGATGACAACGACAGGTTTTTCCCAGCTTGATAGTTCTTAGCTTAAAAAGAGGAGTACAGATGGCCTGGCCATACTTCACTTAACATGCGGTGAACTTTGTGGGGTCTTGAGATCTTGGTGAATTCGGATGAATACTGACTTAAAATGGCGTTGGAGCTGTTTTATTAATCTGGATGTTTATGATTCTGGACGAATCAAAGCTGACAGATTTATAAACACACAGAGACTATGCCACGCTTCAGACTAGGAAGGTTCTGATTGGATCAGCACAGCAATGTGTCATGTGATTATTTACTTTAGTGTATCAGCGTGTCTAGTGACTAGAATAAGTCATTAACTTATTAAAAACATATTAATCATCATATTGTGATTTCACAGATCGGTCACATGGTATTATTGACTAACAGTTGTTTTGATTAGCTTTATTGAAAATAGAGTTCTTTGATCTAATGAAAGAAAAGAAAAGAGTCTTCATCTTCTGTCTTCATTGCTGGAACGTAAACAGTTTAGAAGCGAATGCATGACCTTGAGGCTGTTTCATGCACTCTGGCGCCGTGTCAAAGGGGAACAGTGGTTAGAGGATAATAACCCTGAGAAATGGCTCCTTCATCACGTTACAAGTGAATGAATAATAATTCAACACATATGTTGATTTAAAATGTAATGATGTATTTAACTTTCACAACTTTAACACAGAACCACAGTTCTGCAGAGCATCAGATGCTTTTGTGAGAATTTTAAAAGGTTTTAGTACTTTTACTTTGAAAAACACACAACATGATTGTTTATGTGTAAAAGTTGGTGTTGCTGTGTTTGCTGCTCGCGTTCGTGACCTACAAAAGGAAAGGAGGGATGAGGTCAGAAAGACGAGTGTTTGCAGAGCTTTACCACAAACGGATGGAGGGTTCTGGTTTCCTCACTTCTAACAGAGAAGCATCGGGCTAGCAGGAGCCGCTCACATCTGGGTCCATCTAGCAGAACTTCTAGAGTTAGCAGGTGATGCTCCTGAAGCTCGCTGCGTCTGCCTCCCAGATGTCACCTCACGGTCAGTCGTGTGTTGACAGAACCTGCAGGAACGTCGTTCTCTAGATTCATAAACATCTCTGGGTTCATGATCTACATGATGAATGACCAACTCTTGTAGCACCTTTCATGTCAGAGGACTCCAAAGTGATTTACCACGTAGCCACAGCCGGCCTGGGGCGCACGGACAGAGGTAAGGCTGCCGAGCACAGGCACTTCCGGTCCCTCCGACCACCAGCAGCAGGCAAGGGGGGTTAAGTGTCTTGCCCAAGGACACAACAGCAGCATTCTCTGGTCAGAGCCGGGATCGAACCTGCAACTTTCCAATTACTGGACGACCCGCTCTACCTGTTGAGCTGCTGCTGCCCTAAACTTTACATTTACATTCATCTTTGCAGTTCTTTTATTTTTTGGGACACATTGATGTTTTCACCATGACTGATCATTTCCTGTTCATGTGGAGAGTCGCAGTGGCGTGTCCAGATCTTTTAAAATGGGGTGGCCCAGCTGAAGCACAACTTTGTGCATGGGTGGCACCAATTGTTATGCTTTTTTTTTGTTTTACCCCCAAGCCTTTTGTGGACAATGAAAAGCCTATTTAAAGGTAAATTACTGTGGTGGCACCTGGGGTGGCCAATCAGATTCCAAGGGTGGCATGTGCTACCCCAGGCCACTCCATGGACACGCCCCTGGAGTCGGCCGTAACCGTTCAGGTGTGCAGGCTGCAGGAGTGCTGTGCCCCTCCCCTGCCAGGCTAAAGCCTCATCCATGCTGAAAACCACTTCTTGAAGGAAATTGATAAACAAAGCCGTGAGGTCACATGTAGACGTGAGCTTTGCTGCATTAGTCTTATTTTGAAAACTGCCGGACATTTACACTGAAACTTTATGTGGTTTCCTGTCCAGCTCTATGGTTACTGCAGGAATTGATGCGACACAGAAGTGGCTCGTTGCAAAAATAGAACCGATCCCATCACCTCAGTGAGAAACAACACAAGTAAAGAGTCGCTAAATGTTCATCTGGCGGCTCACATGTGTCTATTCTTTGTTTTTGGTTTGTGCCAAATTGAATTCTGATTAAAAGAAAAAACAAATGAAGAACTTGTGTAACCTGGCCTGCCAGACTCACCCTCTGTCTGTTCTACACATCTCCCACTGGCATGGCGGGCCAGGCTAACTTGTAGGCCAAAAACTTGTAACTTGTTTTTAGTTAGTTTAAAATATCAGGCGCAGATAAAAAATATATATATCTTTTAAAATGTTGAAATAAAGCCATAATAGTTTAATATGACATTTCACACACATGATATTCCACAACTATTTCTTTTAAAAAATGTTGACATTATTGAGTGCTAATTGAGCCCCAATGAGTGCTCTCATTGGTTCCACCCAAGTTCCTCCCACCGACGCTAGAACTGAGACAAAATGATCAGTAACACTGTAGATTTGAGGTTTGTACCTGTAGAATGAAATGAGTGTTTTGAGAGTTTTGATTTCAAACTTGAACCTTGATTTTTTTTTTATTTTGGAAGTCTGCTAGGTTAAAACTGAAAGTTTCATGTTTCTGAATGAATGTTTGATGTTACAAAATGAGTAGTAAATGTACAAAATAAAAGTTTGATTTTACAAAATAAAAAATACATGTACAAAATGAAAATTTCCTGTTACAAAACAAGAAATACAAGTACAAATGGAGAATTACAAGTTAGAAAACTAAAGTTACAAGTTACGAATCCAAAGTTACGTGTCATGAAATACGTTCCTAGTTACAAAACTTGGTACAAGTTACATTGAATATTGTCCCAATCCTAGCTCCAAAGGTTGGCAATCAAATAGCAAATAAAAACTATTTCAACAAGAAAGTTTGCACAACTGTTTGATTGCGTTTGTATCATTGACCCAACGCGAGTTAGAAAAAAAAACTTTTCACAAAAATATTTCTCAATTCAGCGTGACTTCATCTGAGAATTGTCCAGTTTGTCACCAACAGCTCAGCTTGATCCTGAATAGTTTGCAAAGTGCGATGAAAGCCACTAGATGTCACCATCTAGCTTCCTCACTTTGTTCCTGAATCTTATTTTTTTATTTTCTCACCTGAAAAGTTCATTTGCAAAAACAGTTAAGAGCCATTGTTGATTAAATTCACCAAACATTTGGACTAATATAATAAAAATGTTTTATTTATTATTTAACCCTCTGGAGGCAGGCAGGTTAAAACCTACCTACCTGGTTACTCCACATATGCG